TTTTCTGGGCCGAAATGGCTCTAACCTCTGAAGCTTGTGGGCTCACTTACGGCATTGTGATCAGAGCATTGGCAGACATCTGTGCCTGCCGGAGTGCCAAAGTGTGTGTCTCTCGCCTTCCGCCCACGTCTCGGTCCGGCTTGCAAGGTCATTTCGCCGCTGCAGAGCACAGACTTATCCAAAAATTATGGTAGGCATTCCTTCCAATCCCCAGTCTGCATAGAACTCCAGGGTTGCCTGAGAAAGCCTCGATCAAAGGTTTCAGGGACTATGCGAGCCTCGCTTCTTGGTATCGCAAACGCGGATAGCTCGACTTTGAAGGATATCGAGGCAGCGCAACACTTCAACGATCTTCAATGGACAACACCAAACAGCCAGAAACCCATCGAAAGTTTGTTCGAGCTGACCCGCAGTTTAAGCGGAACCAGCTGGAGAGTTGCGATACCATGCCTGTTGGACCATTCACTCTTCGAGTCTGCAGCACTCTACAGCATAGACGGCCACCAAAAGCATGAGTCAAGTCGCACATGCCATGCATGAATTACTTGTTAGCTACCGCCGCCCCCACCCGGCATCTGGTTCGTTTCCCTTGCGTCTCTAAAGCTTTGAAACGCCATGAGCAGCCGGAATCTTGAGATCTCGGATAAGCTTGTAAACATCCGGCCGATAACCCAACTTCTCCAAATGGCGGTGCGTCGTCTGCATCATCTGCTTGGTCCCGGCCACCATAAACCGAACTCCCGTCGTGTCACGGTCGTGCTGACTCCATGGAAAGACCTTTTCGAGCAACTGGGAGTCAATGCGCCCATGGTGCATGCCAGGAACAGATTCGCGCGAAACGAGTTGCTCCAGTCGGAAGCGATGCGGTTCTGATTTGACCAGCACTGCGAGCTCATCCGCCAAAATGCCCTGCTCGGCTAGAGTACGTGTTGCATACAGAAGCACAACCTCACCAACATTTGCATCAGCGAGTTCTTGGACAGCAGTGCGATACAGCTCTGTGATACCGATGCCGAATGCGATCAAACCAACATGTTGCCCAGGATTCCGACGATCCAGCGGAAGAGGGCTTGGCCACGGGAACGTCATGTCCACCGTCTCTCCAACAAGTTTGGCATCCAGCCATCTGGACACGTAGCCGTGCCTGTACACGCGCAGCACCAGCTCGAAGGTCCCATCGGTACGGCATGGCGAGGATGTTGGCGAGTACATTCGACGCACACCGAGAGCATTTAGGACAATCACCTTGCCATTCGTCTACAGTGAGTCTACAAAGAAAGTCTAAACTGCACAAGTTCAGGAACCCAAAGAATGTGGGACCGAGCTTTCAGAAGCCCACTCCTGGCGCAAAGCAGCATCGGAAGCCATTGGATGGTCGGGAGGAGACTGGAAAACGAAGCGGCGAACCTGGGCTGGGTGCTGCCTTTGCATCGTCACTGAGGAAACCTAGCTAGATATCAGATAGACCCTCCAGCAGACAATTGTAACATTTTTGTCCGCTGCGTTCTGCATTCGTTTGGATTGCATCACCTGGAGTAGCACTCTGTGATGCAAACCTTTCAGATGTCTAGAGTCTACACTGTGTTATCCCCCAACAAACAACTTCATCTGGACATCAACCATGTCACAGGCTCTCCTCGTTCGTCTTCCTCGCACAAAGTCGTTTTCGCAACCAATCTGCATCTGGTGATCTTCTGTTCACCAGATGCGACATGGATTGGCTGCTGCGGCATGCTCGTGGACATCATGGGTCCGTGCGGAGAGCTTGAGCCCAGCCTTCGGAGGAGCAGCCGAGAGAAGCAGCGCCAAGCCACCTTGTTTCATCGCACAGAACGCAGGAAGGATCTTAAGGTGCTGCAGCTACTGAGACTGCGAACTGTTCTTGTGTCGGTCGCGGCTACCAACTACTAAGCGGCCAAACCTACAGTGCCTCTGCTGCAAAGACGGGACTTTCCTGGACCACTGTGCTCATGCTTCTCGGATTGCAGGCCAGGCCCAAACCTTATGTGGAACCTGGAACAGCGGCTTCTGTACAGCGCGCAACTTGCGCTTAAAGAAGGTTGTGGCTCAGAGCCACCTTTTTTGTAGAGCTGCCATGAAAGTAGCAGCGAAGATGCGATAATCGATGCACCAAACTGTGGCCGTGGACACGCAGGTCAGAAGGTGGCCCGGTTTGAACAGTAGGCGCTTGAATTGCTGGTGTTGTTTTGCTGCCTTTTTGACCTGATGCCCACTGCCACATGAAAGACAGTGGTCTTGAAATGAAGCAAGGGCAATTCGCGCAGAAAGACTCTCATGCGCAGGAAACCGCCATCAAAGTCTGGCATGTTGTCGACGCTCTGGCACTTGATCATTTCGTCAAGTTGTGTCGTCGCAACATTGTAGCATCGCGAATCAACTTGTAACCTGCAGATCTAGGTGTTGCATCAAGCCTCTGACATAAAGCATGAGACACGGTCAACACAGATGACAGGCTTAGCTTAGCAGCTTGACATTACAAGGCTCCTGTGGGTTTGAGGTGTTCATTAATTTGTGCGGCTGCTCTTATGCCGTGGAAAGTCCCCCGGCTGCTGACTTCGTTTTGTGTTGCATTTGCAGCCTCTAGTCGGTAACACGAGACCTTCATGCTACCACGACACGATCTGGGCGGTAGCCGAGCTCTTCCAACCATGTATGGGCAGCCTGTATCATGGCCTTCGTCCCGGCTGGAATGAACCGTGCACCTCTTCGGAGTCCATCAGCCTGCCACGGAAAGACCTGCAGGATGTCGGGGAAGGGTGCTAATTGTCAGGTCAATTGTTTCCCTCTTGACCCTGTTGACTCTTGATTTTCAAGCCGCGCTTGATCCTCTTGGACCTCTTGCCCCGCTCGCTCACCCCATCCTCCCAATTTCATCCCCCCTCTTTGAACCCTGGCCCCCAAAGGATTGAGGAAGGGGAAGCCGCAAGAAACACAAGAGTGTAACGAGGGAGTGGCAGAACACCCCAAGCCATAGGGATCTTTGCCGCGTTCATCTCCAGCAGTCTGTGCCAGTTCGAACCAACACCAAAGCTGCCAGTAACTTCCAGATGTGATTCCTACTTGATGTAAATCTACTGCCAGGACATATCAGCGAATTTCGCAAACGTCTATTGAAACTTACTGACGTGTTGGGTCCAGGACCTGAATGCTGGTCATCATCGACACATGCTGTATGCATGGGCAGCCTCCGCAAGCACCGAAGAGTTTAGTCGGCCAAACAGGACTCCAGGGACTTGCTCCTCTCAAGGGTTCCAAAATGTTCCAAACAAAGTAATGCCCAACCACTCAAAAGAAACGCCGCCGATCCTCGGATAGTATAGCGACCAGCCGAAAGCGCTTCGGCTCTTGGCACGCCAATTCGCGAAGCTCGGACTTCAACACCTGGCATCTTTGAAGATTCAAATCTCCATGAGTTGCAAGAGTTTGCGTTGGCAACCTAAAGGGACTCAAGCGTGAGGCATGCCGCTGCATCTCATGATGTCTGATGCAAGTCCGAACCAGCAACCCGGTCACTAAGGCATTTCGAACTTGAATGATGCTCGTGGGTAGTGCAGCCCCCTGGCGAGAAACGATCGAATACGACGAGCCTGCTGTTCTTCCATGGTCCGCGTCGCATAGAGTAGGACCACCTCCCTGACTCGGGGGTCTGCAAGCTCCTGCACTGCAGTGCGGTACAACTCTGTGATGCCAATCCCAAACGCGATCAGACCCACGTGGCGCCCTGGATTTCGACGGTTGCTCGGCAGAGGTGTAGGGTATGGCCATGTCATACTGACGGAATCCCCGAGCCGCAGCGAATCCAGCCAGCGGGAAACCCG